TCCGACGAAACAGTTTGTCACAGCCCCTCGTTTGTTGTCCTCTTCTCTCTCTCTGCCTACGGTTTACCGGGCAGTTCTATTTGTGACGATATATATGAGCGATAGCGAACTTCAGAAATCAAACAGCATCATACACCTAACACACAGATGCCACTTGCATCCAAGGACCACCATGCGCCACACCCAGCCTACAACAGCGCAGCTCGGCTATGGCTGCCTGCTCCTTCCAGCTCGCCCGTGAGCGTGTGAGCGCTAGCCAGCTTCAGCGCAGCATGCAGCCAGCACCCGAATGCCCAATGCGGAGGCAGGCCCTTTGCTATATGGAAGTGGCCTGCCGGCCTTCTGTCCCAGGCTGCGCTGGGCCTTTCCCAAGAAGCTTCCGGTAGGCCCCGGTAGGCTGAGGCCCAGTCCAAACGAATTGGCCCAGGGCTGCTGACAGTTACCTGTGCCCAACTGCCCGCAATCTGAGTCAGGCCCTGGGCGAGATTCGTAACATAGGCCCAACTCAGGTTGCGGGCAGTTGGGCACAGGTAACTGTCAGCCGCCCTGGGCCAATTCGTTTGGACTGGGCCTCAGCCTACCGGGGCCTACCGGAAGCTTCTTGGGAAAGGCCCAGCGCAGCCTGGACAGAAGGCAGGCAGGCCACTTCCATATAGCAGAGGGCCTGCCTCCGCATTGGGCATTCGGGTGCTGGCTGCATGCTGCGCAAGCGCTGCTGTGCTGAAGCTGGCTAGCGCTCAGGGGCTCACGGGCGAGATGGAAGGAGCAGGCAGCCATAGCCGAGCTGCGCTGCTGTAGGCTGGGTGTGGCGCATGGTGGTCCTTGGGTGCAAGTGGCATCTGTGTGCTGGGGAACGAGGTTGTGAGTGATACGAGAGACATACCTGGTGCTAGAAGCGACGGCATAGTCCGAGATCTGCTCGTACTTCGGTGAAGCTGTTGACGTCACCCGGTGGCATTGTAGAGTAGGCTAGATAAGATCTGCCATCTGTAGTCTGGGCGCCAGATAGGATATCAACATTGGTTCTTCATTGATGATGATGATGAGGCTTTACCAGCATTGTCAATTATGAGCTCTTGGTGTGTTCTTATTTGGTGAAACTCGTGATGCAATTCTGCTGTTGGTTCGAGGTCACGACTATCTGGTCTTGTGTGTATGATGCTGTTTGATTTCTGAAGTTCGCTATCGCTCATCTTCCTTGCAATTTCTGGGCGGTTTTCAAAATATATATATTTCTGGGCGGTTTTTTGGCCCGCCCGGTTTACCCGGACGGCCCCCCCGGGCCCAACCGACCGGGCGGCGTCCTCACTCAACTTTTTTTTTTTTTTTTTTTTTCCCCTATTGGAAGTTAGAACTGAAAACCTGATGTGGCCGCAGTTGTTTCTTTAACTTTCTTATTTTTATCTTGAAAATTGAAATTTATAAGGAATTTCAAGGAGACCCCGAGCCAAAAGTTGTTCGCATTGCAATTCTTTTTTCCGATTTTTTTGTGTTCTTGAATTTTCTCAATATTATGCGCTGGGATTTTCCGGGTGCCTGTCCAGAACCCATCCGGGTGGGTATCTGGGCGAGCAACCCCCAGCTGCGCTGCCTGGGGACCAGCACTGCTTCTTAACCTTTGCGGTCCATGTATCTGTGCGGCATGCAGATTGTGACTTCAGACAACTCTTGGGAGAGAGGGTGCAGATATGTTCTCCCCGTGACGACCTGCAGAGATGGAGCTTTTACACAGAGGATCACTTCAAAAAGCAGTGTGGCTGTACTCCTGCTCAGCATTTCGATACGAGTATGTTATCCTGTGAGCGGGTTCTTAACGGGGCGGCCATTGAATGGTCATTGGACAGTTATTCATTGAACGATTCTTCTTCTTCTTCCTCCTCCTTCCTTCTTCCTCCTTCCTTCGTCCTTCTTCCTTCTTCCTTCTTCCTTCTTCCTTCTTCCTTTCTTCTTCTTCTTCTTCTTCTTCTTCTTCTTCTTCTTCTTCTTCTTCTTCTATGTTCCTGTAAGCTGCCTTCTTCCCCAAATGAAGTATAAGCCCACTTTACTCTGCGGTTTTCTAGTACATAGTAGATACTATTTTTATTAGTTTACCAAACAAGCTGCTTCAGATCGAAGCTCTGTTGAACAGTGAACTGGGACCATAATGTCTTAGACTGAACCGAAACCTGGAATCAGATTGAAACCTTGAGTTTGTCCAGGGTCTGGGCTTCATGTTGACCATGGGGAAGAATGAATGAACTGAGAAAGTTGAGTTATGGAATGGCAAGGGAGATCATAGTAAAAAGATGAAGTGAAAAATCACTCATGGAGCCAGGCTCACTGGAATTCATTATTTTTAATGTTTTATTAAATTTTATTCAAATTTGTTGTTATATGTTATGATTCTTATGAGTGGATGTTTTATACAATAATATGAATGCTATAAAATTACCATACTTGCGGCGCATTGACGTGCGCTGCACCGCGCGCACGCGCCGCACTGCGCACAGCGCACGGGGTGCGCCGCACCCCGAAAATAAGGGGTCGATAAAATAAAAAAAAAGATGGGGAGGGTTGTTTTAGACCGGAGTGGGATGTCGCGGTCATAAACCACAAAAAAATATTGACAAAAATTTGAGGCCGCGCGGGGCCTCCGAAAAAAAAAAGGGGGGAAGTTCGTTTTCTTGTTTGTGTGTGTGTGTGTGTGTGTGCGCGCGCGCGC